TTTTAAAAAGGGTTGAATGGAGCACTCCAGCAAGGCTTGCCAACTTGTGCATTTGTGAGAGAAATTTACTCCTGTGCGAACAAAACACAGGACTGAGGAGTTCTATCTACGCGGCGTGTTTATAACTGCAGCCTTTGCACATGTATCAAGAAGGAGCACAGTGCCACACAGCAAGTATATGGGTACAATGAGGTGCCACCTCCTCTATCTTCCACAGGACTTATTCCCCAGTAAATATGCACCAGACTGCTGATACTGGGACTTTTTTTTTTAAAGGAAGGCGTCTTGAACTACATTCTGGTCCACACCTGTGTATTTCAGCACTGCTTTTTATGCTTTTGTTTGTGGAAGGGCATGGAGCGCAAATAAGGTCAGCTGAGCAAATGTGAAGTGACGCATGCTGGGGCCCCACATGCCACACTTCTGTGGAGTGTCGGGGTCCGTGCCGGCAACGACTGACCGAGATCTTGCGGTTGTGGTAGGCGCCTGGACAAAAACGCTGGGCCACTGCTGTGGAGATGGTCAATTCCATGTTGGGCGCACTTGGAAAAGGAACTGAAAACAAGATTGCCAATGATTTGTGTAGGGAGAAAGCGGAGAGGGGAGTTGGACCCCCAAAGGGGTCACCCCATGGAGCAGGTGGATGAGATTTCAGGAGGGGCTTCTTCAACAGTGCATGGCCAAACCGTGGCATTCACTTCCACGAGGAGGCTGGGACTGGGCAAGATCATGGAGGCTGTCCATGGCTACAGATCCACGGGGTTGTGTACTGACTCCAATCCTGGAGGCAGGATGCTGGGAACGCTACTGGGCTTGTGCCCCTGGATGGACTTGCAGACGTCCCAGGGCAACTGGCTGGTGACCATGCGAACCTGAGGTAGGTCAGATACACGCTGGGGCTGATGCAGGGGAGTCCCCTGATGCTCCCAATACTGCCTTCAGCTCATGTGCTTTTACGGTGGACATTGTTTGAAATACACCTATTTGTTAAATTTATATCCCGCTTTTCCCTGTAAGGAGCCCAGGCAGCTTATATGCTCCCCTGCTCTATTTTATCCTAACAACACCCCTGTGAGGTAGGCTAGGCTGAGAGTCTGGAACTGACCCAAAGACATGGGGTGACTTTCATGGCCAACTAACGTCTGGAAGCAGATCTCCCGAATCCCATTCAAACACTCCAACTGCTACACCACACTGGCTCTACAATCAGCAGAATATATTAATTTGTGTCTATGCAGAAAGTTTAAAACACTGTTGGATACTTTACCAACAGTTATACAACTGTGCTTGTAGTTAACTGCATTTTTCTTCTGCTTACTCTAAGATCTTTGAGTTTTCTTCCCAGGATGTTATATTTATATGTAATATGGCACGCACACACACACAATTTGGCTTTTTCTCAGGAAATGTTGTGCTTATTTGCAATATGACACATGCATCTGTAACACAAATGCATATGTGTATATTCACTAAGTTTTCCATCCCGAACATTATTTTTATATCTGTCACACACACAAATAAATAAAATACATGCACACACTCACACAAACAGCACAGAGAACACACAAAATGTGTACACAAAATGCAAATGTGTAAACACACGAAATGCATGTGCTCCCACGTTTAAACATCACACACACACACACACAAATACATATACACACAGGTCATGAGCAGAGCTGGCTGGAGCTGGGGGCGGGGGTCAGATTAGATGGCCAGGGAGGCCTTTTCTGACTCGCTCTGTTTCTATGTTCTATACAGAATAAACACACATAATAAGCAACAGCATAAACATGCACAAAATACACACACGCATAAAATGTGCAAACACATCTAAAAAACATGGTCACATATCATGCGTGCACACACGCAAAACAACTCCGAAATGCGCACACACAAAGCATGCACACAGGTTTATAAAATACGGACACCCATGACGCGCGCGCACACAAAATAAACACAAGAAGCACCTACACATGAAAAGCACGCACTCCTGTCCATAAAACGTGGACACGTACAGCGCCCGCACACCAAACGCACACACGGCCACACGCGGGCGCGCAAAGGAAACAAGGCGCGCGCGCGCACGGCGCAGGCATGCCCTCCGCGCTCCCCCTCCCCTCCCCTCCCCGCGCAGCCCCCTTCCGGGCGGGTCACGGCGCGGCGGCCGCTGCGCTGCTGCGGAGCGGGGCGCGCGGGCGAGGCGAGGCCGGGCCGGGCCGGACGGGCCGCTCCAAAGGCCGCGACCGGGTTTTCCGCCCCGCCGCGTCGCGCCTGCTGCGCTCGCGCGGCCGGCCTCTGCT